TTTAAATTTATTCATCGGTAAAAAAACTCAATTAACCGTTTTTAATCACCAAGTATAACTTGTAAGACTGATTCGAAAACTAAAGAATAATCTTCCTGAATACGTGGGCACATTTAGCATAAGGAAATGTTGAAATGCCTGTATACGTTCCATGCTTCTTAATTGCCCAATAACAAATTTGTTCTAATAAAACGCCTGAATACCCTAATAACGAAACATTTAATTAATTCTATTATGATATTCTTTCGACGAAAAATCATAGTTTTTATACGTTTCATTAGTCCACATATGTTCAAAAATGCATAGACTAAAGTATGAACATATAGTAGCATTCACCAAAGTACAATACGAATTAATGGCTCAAAAAAGCTATAGATCATTTTTCTAAATATGTTAATACATATATTACATGAAAGTTCTAGATTATTATATTTATTATTAATAACAGATTAAATGCAATACAACGGTTCCTCGAAAACCCTAATTTTTCCCCTTATAAAGTATTAATGTTAATTACGTACACAATTACATATTAAATTGATGCAAGAAAAAAATTTCTAAATACTACTCATGTTAACGTGAAAATCAGTTTTAAAAAATTATTCAATTTTTTAATATTATTTTATCTATCTGTACACGCTGAGGTCCTTCAACAAAAATTATTATGTTATTGCATAAAAATCACTTAAGAATTCTACTGGTCCGGAAGGATGATAACCATATTTCATCGTATTCATTTTAATTTCAGATTCATAATAACATTAATTGTTAACATTTAAACTGTGCAGTGGGCTTCTTGAAAACCGTTAATTTGTTATTTTTACTTTTTTAAATTTCATCTTCCAAAGTACACATTTAGATAATTCGAACCAATGTAATAAAATACACAAAACAACAGTTTATATAATTTAAGACTTAAAAGACTTTATAATAGAGAAATGAAAGATAGACCTATCGCTGAAGATGGCGAGAAACCGATACGCGTCTGAACGGCCGAAATATTCGGAAATGTTCTAAGTAATTTAGATACATTTTGCACATTTAGGAGAATTTGCCAAGAACAAGTGCAGGCAAATTTAAAGTGATTGATTGTCGGCATAATGTAGGCTACTTAAATTTTCCACGGTCGTTACCAGACGATACAATGATGATAGTGGTGGCGTATAGCGAAACGCATCTGACCCGAAACGATTTGTGATGTCCATGCACACAACTCAAAATGAAATAACAATAAATGTAGTCTTAAACATTAAGACGATTTCTTTAATTGTTGTAACAAAATATGTGCTTAAACAGATTTTGGTTTCACATTATTTTTCATGTATGTTGAATCTTATTAGTACCAGTTAAGTGTTAAACTTCTGTTCTTAAAATTCTTCTGTTAAAAATTAATAAGTAAATTTAATTTTTATTAAATCCATTACAGTTCGTGGTCCGATTGACCAATTAACATTTTTCAATTAATTAATATTTATGAAAGGTATAGGTCGAGATAAAAAATTAGAGAGGTGAGGTTGAGATGGGAAGTTAGTGTCCGAGCGAAGTAACGAACCCTTCGAAGGACCGATAGCTCAAGAGGGAGAGTAGCGTCGTATTTAGCCAAAGGTCGTGGGTTCGAATCCCGCTTGTGACACTGACTTTTTTATCTCGACCTTTCATAAATATTAATTAATTGAAATTTTTTAATTTTCATATCATAACCATTGCTCCCAAGCAAAGGTTTATTAATACAGTTCCAATTGTCTAATTATCAACTTTAAAACAGCTATGGGAATCTCATATTTATCTATAATTATTTATTAATTAATTCATACTAAATTGAAAGCTAAAATTAAAAAGAACTTTTCCTTGTCCAAAAAACAATGTTTCCTTTGGAATTATACCAAAAGAAGTTGAGAAGATAAGATAAAAAATTTAAACGAAATGTTAATGCCAAGACGTAATTTTTTGAGGCATGCGATGTGATTTGTCATTAAAAATAACGAAGCATGTTGGGAAACTAAAGTATACAGTTTTATTTTGATACGATTGATATTAGCCATAATAGTGTAATTATATATTTAAAACTATTATAAAATTGAATAAATAAATTTAAAAAAAAACACGTTTTTGACACAAGAAACCCTGTAATAATAGATATTATGCCCAGCCTAAGAAAAACATTGACTTTGAAACATACATAACCAAACTCCATGAAAACAAACTAAAAAGAAAAAACAGATGGCAAATTTGCAGGCTTCTTGTAAACAAGGTAGTGATTTTGGAAATATTTTTATATTTTATCATTTATCAGAATTATGAAGAGAAGGATTGTGAGCTTCTTCTCGGGATTTGATGGGTGCGAATCTGTCGTTTGACATCCTGGTTCGTTATTCATGCTATTTTGGCGGGTGATTACAACGAAAAGAGTGATCTCACATTTAGTGCCATTTTAGATGGTAACTGCCATGTATGAAACTTCCCAATCATAATTTGAAAAAAAAAAAAAAGAATTGGGTATGATTATAAATAAAAAATAAAAAATTATTCCGTGGGCAATATATTTGTATTGTGATAGTTCATCTTGATGTAGATGATAGCTTGTCCGAGTTGGTCCTCAGAAAAGATTTTTTATATTTATTATTATTAAGCTTATTTATAATGGAAAAATTTAAAAATTAGTGATTTTGTGGTAGGGCAACCCAGGTTGGGTTTGCTGTAAAACATGTAGCATTGAAACGTGTTAAAATCGAAGTTTTCTTCTCAGTGGGAGGTTTAGTCCTGGCAAAAAAAGAAATGTAAGACGATGGCAGTTCTTCTGCTCTTATCGCTCGTTCAAAATCGACATAGATGTTCCAAAAATATATGCTAATTATGCTTTTATATAATCTACAGTTTGTATTTATATTTATATTTATGTTTTATCATTTTTAGAATTATGAATGTGAGTATCGTGATATGTCTCGGAAAAGATTTTTCACATTTAAATCTTATCGATATTTAATTACACAAAGTCTAGGCAGGATAAATAACAGTCATTACAGTATAGGAAATAAATTCTTATGTCAAGTTCAAAAACGATATAAGGGTTTCAATTTGTCGAAAAATATTCGCAACTTGTGCTTTTTTGTAGAGTCCATAGTTTGTTTTATATTAACGTTTAATCATTTATATATTGAAGTTGAGTAAGTATTATTACATAGGTCAGCTTTATTTTCATGTCAGATGGTACTGCCATATATGAAATTTCCAAATCTCGATGTTAGAAAAGAACATAGAGGAAATAAACCGTGAGCAATATTTTCCTATTGTGACGATGTGTGTTGAAATAAAAGTTGGCTCATACGCCCAATCAAGATTTTTCCTTTAAAAGCACATCGATATTGAAGTAAATTTAAAAAAAATCGTGATTTTTTTGACATACCGAATGAGAAAGGGTTTGTTTGAAACCTTGAAAATCAGTAATGTTAGTTAAAGTCATCGGTAGCAATAAAACTAGCGAAAATTGACATATTCTTTTCAGTGTGAGACTAGTCTCAGTATTTCAGTTGGTTGAGATATTTATTGAAAATAGAGGAGTTAATCCGTGGGCAATATTTTTGTATTGTGATGGTGCATATTGATATAGATGAAGGCTCATACGCCCAGTCAGGCCTCCGGAAGATTTTTTGGTTAAAAGTTGATCGATATTAGAGTATTTAAAAAAATCGTGATTTTTTTAAAAGGCCCAAACCAAGAGGCTTTGCTTGAGAACTTAAAAATCTGTAATGTTAGTTAAAGTCATCGGTAGCAATAAAAGTAGCAAAAATCGACCCTTTCTTGTTCAATGGGAGGCTTAGTTCTGGCAAACAAGAAATACAAGGAGGTGATAGTTCGTCTATTATTATGGCATGTTCAAAAGATGTTTCAAATTTGTAGAAGAATGTATGCAACGATTACTTTTTTTAGAATCTACATTTGGTTGAGATATTTATTGTTTTATCTTTTATTAAAATTATGAAGATGATTATGTATGTGAGAATTTCCTCCAGGCTTGCAGGGTGTAAATCGATCGTTCAGTCGTCGGATTATCCTTGTATGTTATCCTTGCTATTTAGCCTAACTGATTGCAAACGAAAGCAGTGAGGTCAGTTTCACTGCCATATTTGCATCTTCCGAGTCTCAATTTGTAAACGTGAGAATCGGCGATGTTAGAAATAAAAATAGAGGAGTTAATCCGTGGGCAATATTTTTGAATTTTGACGGTGCATCTTGATATAGAAGGTGGTTCATAGGCCGCGTTGGGCCTCGGACATATTTTTCAGGTTCAAAGTTCATCGTATTCGCATTGAATGAAAGTTTGGCGGGAAGGGGTTTTAGTTGCATCGTTTTAGCACGAATAAGGGTTCGGGTCGGGAGACAAGTGCGGACGGATAGGAAAGCGGATCGGAGGTGGAATTCGCCCGGAGGGAGTTCCCAAGGGACTCGGCCACCACGGCGCACAACCAATTTTTCATAGGTTTACAGGATGACCCGGAGGTAGAGGCGCCTCGCTCCCACGTTTTATCTCCGGCTGTGATTTACGGCGGCGAGGGGGCCGGGATCATGAATGGGGGTGGCGGAGATGTACTCCAGGGAGTCCTCCTCCGGGGCTATTCCAGTGACGGGAACTGCTTCGTAATTGGGGTATTAAAGGGTTCCCTCTGGAGGGGACTCGGACGCTATGAATGGACCAAAGAGGGGGCCGTGGGAAACCAGGACTGGCACTGCCATTGGTTCGGGACCTGCTGAAGGAGGCCAATGGGAAGAAAGAAGGGCGTGTTCGCCGCTACTGTGCAGTTCCCACACACACGTAATTGGCCACCGCAATTACGTCGAGAGACCCGGTATCCCAGAGTGAACAGTTGACCAGAAGACTGCAGACAGCTACCATCGCTGCTCCCCCATTCGTAAGTACCCAACAGTAGCTCACTCCGTTCCCCTACCACTTTATATATTTTATATATATACTATTTTAAAAGTCTAGTCTTTTCAGTATTTCACATTTCTCCTTTCTAGTCAGTGACGCTTGTGTATCGCGTACGTGACGCTGGTTTGGTTCCTTTATGAATTTTTTACACTTTGAATATCCCATTTGACAACACAACACTGTTTGGAAATTGACAGTAACCTAGATTTCTCAGACTGAACCCGAACTCCGTCCGCTATAACGTTTCTGGATCTGTTCTGAGTAAGTACGATCTGTCATTCCAACCCAGTGGGTTCAAAGGCTAAACTCATGACAATGCCACTACCTTCTACCAAACACTTTTTAAAAACAAATTAATCAATCATAAAACATAAATTCACTGTTGCACCATGAATACGTGTCTTGCATGATGGGCTTTATTGTCACTTGATCACTCCACCTATGAAGATAACGTAAAGCAATCACATCAACTCAAGAAGAAAAGCAATATTAATAATGCAAAAATAAGTCAGAAAACGCTTATTATAAACAAATTAATGGATCATGAAACATAAATTCACTGTTGCACCATAAATATGTTTCTTGCATAAAGGTTTTTGATGTCAGTCACTTGATCACTCCACCTCTGTAAATAACGTAAAACAATCACATCAACTCAAGATGAAAACCAGTATGAATAATGAAAAAATAAGTGAGAAAACGTTTTTCAGATATATTTCTTGTGCAACACTCAAGTATGATTGTTGAAATTTAACAGTGTTTTATTACATAAAATCAATTTAATTTCCCTTATATAAAAATTAAAAATGCCAGGAAACCTGTCACTTTCAAGCTCAACAACATCCAACAAGCATTTGCTTTTAAATAATTAAATTAAATATCGGTTGTATATTGAGTTTCTTCACGATAAACTTTACTGTCTTAATAATCGATCTATCGATTAGTCGTGTTGTCATTTTTTATTTGATAGAATTAACCATTTTATGTCGAACTGGCTGATTAGTGCTTGGACCGAGCGATTTCAGACAACTGTGAAAAACCTAAAAAGAATTAGTTTTACGATCAGGCATGTTGAAATTTCACAATTTTGTCCTTGTTTTTCTTTTCTTTTTTGACGTTTTTACATAACGGTACGAGATATTCGACGATCCAGCCCCAAAAGAAGAAGTTTCTATTAGACATAAAGCTTATACTTCCTTTCTTGATTTAATTTAATATTATTAATTTCCATGAGGTTTAAAGTTAAAATTAAACTTAAAAGTGTACGATTTACAACGTATTTTAAAAATCGAATTGCAACCTCTTTTGAAAGTCAAATTCAGTCATTGCTACATTCGAAAATCAAGGATTTTTGTGTTGTTGCCTTTTTCCTAATCGCCCGTAGAAAATAACAAGTGTTTTGTTATTGATATATTTATTCACATTGGTTCGTTTGTCACTTTTTACTGCCTTTTTAACTGTTTTTTTTTTATCTATAATCAGAGACATTCACGATTCTCGACTTATGGAAAAGTTTCAAAAATTGCAAATTTAATTGTGTCTAGGCTGTTTCTTCCAATTGTAAATAGTGTCTACTGATCCTCTGTCATGGTAAAGATTTTTATTAGGTGCTTGTTATTTCGCAACCTTCGCCCTTATAAGGCCACCGTTCACCTGACCGGTATGGATCGGTGTTGAATTACGCATGTTTTAAACCTTAACGTTCACGGGATGGTCGATTTTATTGAGCAGCATTACGAAAATTGTCCTGGCTGTAATATAAAATATGGCTTTGATTTATAAACAGAAAGGTTTTTTAATTTTTTTAAGCGTTGAAAGGAAAATTGTACAAGGGAATTCTTTGTTTGTGTGTGTGCAAGTTGTATAGAAAATTATGCTTATCTGGAAAAGCTTTTAAGCTACGCCTACAATAATAGGCTTCTTTATCAAAGACCCACACTGTTTTTGACCTAAGCCTTTAGCGTTTACGTTCCACTAAATCCCAGATGGGATCATTAGGGCGAAAACCTTTCTTTTTAAAAAAAAATCGATTAGCTTGTATAAAAGAAAATAATCGTAAAGAATATGACAGTTGCCTGAAAGAGAGAGTACAATATAGTACAAAGAACAGCTCGATCGTACTAAATAGAAAGTAGAAACGCCAGAAGAACAAACGAAGTTAGGGTAAGATCGAAATACGGTTCTTATAGGGACTGGTTTTTTTTTTCAGTTTTACCAAAGAGAAAAAAACTGTACAAAACTAGTATCACTGAATTTGCTCGTCCTCGAATCCTCGTGGTTTTCGAAGGATTGCGCTATCTCGCATCCCAGCGTATCCTGATTATCTCTAACGGCCGGAATCCGATGGAATGTTAAAAAGTGTTCGAATGTTAGTTTTGTGGGATGGGAAAGAGGAGACCCGCCCACACGTTACCTGTGTTTTAGCAGTTTGTCCACTGCCGCCGACCCCCGCTGGGAGCCCAACTTTGATTTATAAGCGTCTAGGGGGCCCTCGTCAGGAGTTGCGCAACCTCGGCCGGCCCCAGACGTTGACTAAGGACACAAGTGAGTCACTGGCGATGATCCTCGGGATGTTCACGATGATTGCGCAAATCCGCATATTCGCGGATACGATCTTCCTTTTCGCCTTGGCTTTAGACGCTAATTATGCGGAAGACGTCGTTAACCTTTCGGTCAGGTTTAAAGAGACGAAAACAACCTTTCCATGTCTATTTGAGAGTCTTGATTCTATGTAATTAACTTGAAAAAATCACCGGCTCACATCACGGACGTCAGAAAAAAACACAAACTTAATAACTCGCAAAGTTCAATTATCAAAATATCTTTTAAAAAACTGCTACAGTACAGCCGATATTTCCTATACATTAAAAACATACAAAACTATTATGATTATAATCATAATTCCATATTTTATTTTGTGATATTTCCATTTGGAGGTTGCGGAGGGTTGAACTTGAATTTTGGCCATTTTCGAGCATTTTGGCCTGTCTTCGTTCGTTGAATGTTCGTTTGTCAGTCTTTCAAATTCTTCTTACATTAACTGTTCAAATAAGACACAGACCACTATGATGGTGGTGAGATGTCACACCGTCTGTCAAACCAAATCAGCAGAACAGGTAGACCGAAATTTCTATCTTTCACTCTATAAACTTACTTCAAATCTTGGGAGTAGCTTGTTACAACAAATCTAAAACTGTTGGTATTTAATTTAATGAACGCTTTTGTTTCCAAATTATACCCTGTCAACTGTTTGATCTAGCGCAGTTAAATTATTTTTTTAATCCGGTATGCTTATTTTTTGATTTAGCAGCAGCGAAAAGCATATCAGTTGACAATATTGGACCTTTAAATATCAAATATTTTCAAACAATTAATGAATATTTACATTTTGTTCTGGTTGAAGAGAAATTAAAATAAAGTCTCTCGTTGAAAGCTGAAAAATTCCTCTTGCTTAAAATTGTATAAAAAAGATTTTTAGCATGTTAAAATTGAATAAAAATTGATACAAAGTAAATGGAAATATTGATGTGCATTGTTGAAGGCTGAGCCTTTTCTGTTGACAGTTACTATCCAAATTTTGATGTGGTTAGAGTGAAATTTAGGAGCTTTTTTGGCGGTCAATACTGCACGTATAAATATTATTGAGAAGCATGTAAATTAGTAATGTATTTTAAATTAATACAGTACATTTTGACGTGTTGAGAGTAAAATTAAATAAACTTAATGAAAGCTAAAAGTTCGTTTGACAAAGATAAACTTATAAAACTAAAGCTGGATCCTCAAAATGATGAGAATGGGTGAAAAAATCATTTTGAAGAAATAATTTTAAAAATCCCTTTTTTCAATGGTAAGCACAGTTCAAGAATTTTGTTGGCAATAATGCTGTTTTAAATATCCAATCTTTCACGTAGTGAGAGTGAAATTTAATATAAGTAACCTACCGAAAGTTAATAATTATTCTTCTAATAATAAACTTTGATTAAAACAGACATTTTTAAATTGTAATCAAAAAAATATTATATATATTAAAATCTTAAAAAATATTCTTGATTTTTTTCAATAAATTTTAACGTTTTTTAGAACACGGTATATTTTGATGTGACAAGAAAAAAATAAAATAATAATCACCGACTGAAAGCTAAAAATTCGTCTGGCAATGGATAAATGTAAAAGCAAATTTGGATGTAAACAAATATAATAATAGGTGAACGAAGACAATAGAAATATAGACCTTTATAACCTTAATTTAAGGCTGGCCTCTTCGGCTGTAAATACTGGACTTACAAATATCCAAACTTGGACCTGGGAAGATTAAAGTTAAGCCAAAAGTTTTTTTTTTGGCTTTACGTTTCCGCATTAGCCACTGGAAAACAAAAGTTAACACTAAAAAAATAATATTCCTGGGATGATTTATTTTTAAATGGTTATAATCAAATAAGAAAAAAATATGATGATCGGTAGACAAAGAAGATCGAAATACTGTCGAACATTCATCACAAAATATGAATTAAACATTTGTATATTTTGACGTTCAGACTACTCGGCTGTCTATACGTAAATTTAAACGCCCTTAAAAAATAGAATATACGTTTGGATTTGGTAAGAGTACAATTAAATTAGAGTTATCTAGTGATTGAAAAAAAAATATTCTGGCAATAATACACTTGTATTTAACAAAAAAAACTAGTTATTTATTAAGTTTGCATTAGATGGGCAAAAAGATGAAAATGGTAGGTAAAGTAAATCAAATTTTCTAAATAATTTTCTCATTTAGAGTCTTGGCCTTTTCACCTATCAATATCCAAGTACAAAAACCGTGACTTAATGCGTTTCTAAGGAGGAGAATACGAAGAATTTAAAATAATAAAGGGAATTTCTGTTACAAAATTAACTATTAAGACATGAAATGTCAACAAACGATAAACTTAAAGATAAAAATTAAAAAAGAATGTCTGTGCAAGTAAAAAAATTAGAGAAAACCTTTACAATTTTATGATTATAAAACAATATGTACAAATGCAATTGTACAAAGCAATTAAGATTCGACATCGAGTCTAAAATATTGCAGAGATCAATAACACAGGAACTTTAATCAGGATCACGTTCAATAAAATATATATTCAATTTGACCACATTTTCAGGTTTTTAACTCTGAAGAATAGATTTTTCGAATTGTCTGCTTGCTCCTTTACAAAGGACCTGGAATCAACAAATATTTTAAAAGTAAAGTAATTCCTGTGATAAAAGAGGGATTAACGTGCAACTATCTGTTGGGTAGAACGAGGGGCAAATGCTTCCCTTCTTATCTTGCACTTTTCTTTTTTTTGGTACAGTTTAACTCAAACCTTGTTGATGATAGTTTAAGGTAATTGTTATTAAACGAATATATTTTGCGACAGTACTCCTATGTACAATTTGAATTTATTTATCTTAATCAGAATTTGGCCTTAAAAACAGGTTTAAGTTTTAGCTTAGTCCTAAAAAAATTTCGTACTTACAATTAATTAAGGCTTTTAGTTGAGATAAAAATTAAATTAACTGAAAGATATTAATTGGTAAACCACCACGAAAACTAGTGAATTTCATACTTACTTTTATTCTTAAGAAAAACGCAAAAAATATATCTTTGAATACTTTCTGTTAATCAAAAATCTTGGCCAAATTTAGAAAATGTTGTGCATTCTTTCATTTTGAATGATCGAACTTGATCAAATTACTGGGTCCGCTTATTCTCGCGTGTTTCTTCCGTTCATTCACTTGTACAAGTTTCTCAGGATTTAAGAATCATACATAAAAAGGGGTAGTGATTAATTTTAGATTATCACTAAATGTCCTACCAACTGAACAACAACCTGCTTTGTTGAACTGATTAACATATATCACATTACTCAATTATTTATACTATTTTTTCGAAGTGAAACATTTCTATCACAGGCGAAATTCGAAACCACGACCTTCCGCTGTTTATATTGTATTTCAAATTATTGTGTCCATCTATTCACGCTTGTTTCTCACTTTCAACTTTGTTCACTATGTACTGTGCCCCACTGAAAACGGCGTGCAGCAGAATTTATATAAATGAAACGGAAGAGGAGGCAGAAATTAATTTCAGTTTATCGAAGGATGTCCAAATGACTCAAAAACCTTCTTTGTTGAATTGATCGAGACTGGTGGTTTTTCAGGGACCGCCTCTTTTCGCTTGTTTCTTAAGTTTAATAGGCACTGTTTCTTCCTGAAAACGGCGGGAAGCACAATTTATATAACTGAAACGTAACAGGAAGAAGTAAATAATTTCTGTTTATCGAAGGATGTCGAAAAAACCTTTGTTGAACTGATCGAGACTGGTCGTTATTCTGGGTCCGCGTCTTTTCGCTTGTTTATTCAGTTTAATATTGTTCATTCGGCACTGCGTCTCACTGAAAACGGCGTGAAGCAGAAATGTATATACATGAAACGTAACAGGTGGTAATAATTAATTTCAGTTTATCGAAGGATGTCCAAACAACCAAAAAACCTTCTTTGTTGAACTGATCGAAATTGATCATTGTTCTGGTTCATCTAGTTTTGCTTGTCATATATGATGAACATGTTATGAATCCGAATGTAAGTGCAACTGTAAATTAACGAGAAAATACAAACATCTTAAAGTTATCGGTTAAGTTCAACATGAGTTTATGCATACAACTTTCGACATTTTCACCAAAATACTTAGATTTATGGAAGATTTTAGCGTGTTGACGAAGCCGCCACGTGGTTTTAAATAATGACAGGAGTCTAAGTCAGTCGGGATGTACGGTGATGATCGGCGTACGCTGAAAACCACCTCGCTACCCGAAACGCCAATATTTCTGCCTTTTTGCAGAATGTATCCAAAACCACACGAGAAAATGTATCCAAGGCTTTTTCCTCGCAATAGCACCACATTGGAGGGGGTCGAAATGGAGCCTTGCGTTGCGCAGAACGGTAGCCGGTAGCCTGTGGGCGGTACCCGGTAGCAGGAGTACCCTTTCATTACGGCTACTCGTCTTTATATCTCCCTCTCCTCACGCCGACAGTCCAATCATGACATCGGAGTCGGTTGTGGTCCGTCCTCCACAGCTGGTGCTACCGGGCTTCATTTCGAATTGGTCGGGAAGATAATTGAAGTTGGGATTGCTGGAACTGGCATGACGGCGGCTTCTGTTGGACAACGTGCGTGACCTTAGTAGCCGCTGGATCTGCAGTCTGTTCGGCTTTACGGTCCGTAATGTCAATTTTGTATTTTGCCTAATATTTTAAGGTCGATTTTGTATTTGGTACAGTTAATTTGTTTTTGTTTTTTACAGACACTAGCAACAAAAATCAAGCAGAGCAAAATTGAGTACCAATTTACTAGAAAAAAAAACACGTTGCATTATGTACCATTTCTGATTTTGTTAATACAATACACACTAAACCATAAAAAATACAGAATTAAACACTTTTCTTACACATAAGATTCATAATAATATACATACAAATAAGATAAAAGATTAAAATACAGAAAAAGAAGAGAATATAAAATTATGGATCTGTTTGGTCGGGCTGGTGTCTTTGGTGTTTTAACGACTCGCCTTTTAAAAACTATCATAAACTATTTACTTCGTAGTAAGTATATAATCACAATTTTGCGCTGCAATTTATTACAATAAGGTGCATAAAAAATGCACCTCAATAAATAGTAATAAATTTGAAAATTGGTCTTTTTTTAAATTAAATTGATCTTTTCTGACGAGGTACGTTTAGAATGGATTAAAATAGTCAATTTTAAACAAAGCAATTGGTCAATTTTCAAGATTTTTTAGATTTTGATTGTATTTTGAGGTAATGAGAAAGCTTCAAACTGGAAAATTTATCGCCCAAAGTTCTCTATTTCAAGAAATACATTTCATTTAAAAGAAATGCTTTATTTATTTGTACTACATGTTGTCATGGATTCTTTATTTTTTTAAATATACAACATATAACATTTTTAAATTGCAAAATCAATAAAAATTTTCGGCCGCTGATATTTTTAAAATGTTCCAATGCTAAGTACAAAAATGTCAATGGTTCAGTTCTTTGAACGGAAATTTAAAAAAAATTATCTACATTTTTTATGTTTTATTTGATAATTTGTAATGGCCAAAGATTGTTCACCGGGGTGAATCACCAATAAATCCCACGAGGTGAATCATCGGTAATGAAATAACCGGACGGAAAACGATTACAGACATATATTACGCCAATCGGTGAAATTTGGACAACTTTGGATATTTAAATAGCATAAAAAAACTACGATTGTACATGTGAACTGTTGAGTAAGCCTTAAATAATCTATAAAACATTGATAAGCGGACAAAATGTGAAGGAAATGAAAAAAAAAGTTTAAAATTTACTAGACTTAATTTTTATCCTTAATTTATGGTTGTTTTACAAGTTTTGGAGTATTGCGTAAAAAATACCCTCAAGTTTCATATTTTGAATCATTTTTATTCTCCAAAAAAGAAAGTTGGTCATCAGTATGTTTCAAGCTGTACAGTTATGAAATCATAAGTTGCCCACAGCATTCAAAAATTATTTAACAGAGAAATCACATATTTCTTGAACAATCAGGTAATAAAATTATAAAACGATTCGTGTAAAAAGAAAAAACCTAAAGATTTATAAAACTGAATTTTTCTTAGTCTTCTATTTTATTTTTTTTTTAAAGATGTACTGAATATTTTGTAAGTCTATGTTTAGGCATTTTTAAATCATTTAGTATTAAGTTTTTATTTTTTTATTTCAAACTTATAGGATAACCTAAAAATTCACGTTATCAAATAAATATTAAAGCGTTTTAAACCGTTATGTGTAACTGTAAAATGTAAAAAATGGCAATTAACATGGCGAAAATGTCGAAATATAGCCTTTCGTTTAGTGTAGCTTTTTATAAAAAGTCATAAATAATAATGTACTTGAGTTGACTATTATTTATCCTATAAAGGAATAATTCTGTTTAAATAGGAAGTTTTATTGAGTCACAAGTCTTCTTTTTTTTGGTATTGGTCATTTTTATATGTTTTATTAATTGATCTAAGAAAAAATAGAGGGGGGATGGAGTTGTTTAAAGGAGAAACTGTGTGAGCTTTTTTTATTAGAAAAAAGTTTCAAGGAATACGTTTTGCAGGTTGTTTATTTATAGTGAGACCCGAAGCGTGTAAAGGTTAAAATCGGCCATGAACAAGTGATTTAGGCGCAACCTTCTTGTACAAAATTAACTCAGAAACTGTGATTTGCAGATGTGATGTGCTAGAGTTCGTCCGAGGCCAGCCGATCGTTTTCGCCGAGTTAACCTTGAGAGACAAGAGCGAGAGAGGGAGTGAGTTAGGGAGCGAGCGAGAGAGACAGAGGGCCACTGAGCGGCGAGCGAGAGCGAGACGGAGATAGTCTGAGCACGAACGAGCGAGAAAGAGCGAAGCAAGATGTTCGCGATAATGCAAGTTGAAACGGACGAGAGAAGGGAGTTCAGGCGGAAGATGAGAGCCAAGTGCGAGTTCGTCTGCAAGTATTGTCAGCGCCGGTTCACCAAACCTTACAACCTCATGATACACGAAAGAAGTCATAAGGACGATGTTACCTTTACATGCGAAGTCTGCGGCAAGACTTTCAAACGGCAAGACAACCTCAAACAGCACAGGTACGCCTCGGACTTCTTTATTATCCACTTTGTCCCGTAATAATGAATCATACACTGGGAATCTTCTAATATATTACAAGACCCGCGATGAAACGTACACTATTTCCATTTGTCTTACGGCACAGTCAGTTTATTGTCGTCTGAATTATCGTAAATATCCCTTTCCACAGCCTGTGCTCTTGTGGTAATGTTATTTTCATTTATATATTATTTAATTTCGCATTTTTCGTCTAAACATTACAGAAAAAAATCGTTAACATGACTCCCCCTCATTTGTAACCTTTTCATCAACTTTTATTCTTCTGGCCAAATAATGCGTCATTACACTCATTTTACTGCTTTTGATCATTATTTATGTAACAAACATAATAAATTAAAATCGAATTATTCTTTCAATTAAATATTGCATTTTTCTTCGCAAACATGGCTTATATCATTCACCAAAATAACGCTCCTTCAATGCAATACGAATAAATTTTACAGCTTCTGCATTTAAAATTTTCTACAAATGGAATGAAATCGTGTAAATGTTTAAAAATCTCCCATTTATTTTTTTCCCTGTTATATATTTCATTATTTTGCGTTAGGAATAATTTGACGAGTTTATAACCTTGCTCAATGTTTTCAAACTTTTCGTTTCTTGTTAAATAACGCGCAATTACACTCATTTTATTGGTTTTCATCATTGTTTATGTTACAAATATGACAAATTCAAATCAAATTATTTTTTAACTAAATATTACCTTTTTTCTACTTATTCATGACAGATATCCTTCTGCAAATTAATGAGCCTTCATTGGAATATACATTAATTTTGCAGCAACCGCATTTAAATTTTATAGAAATATTATGAAATAATGCAAATGTGTAAAATCTTTCATTTATATTTTACTCCGATTATTTCACTTTAGGAACAATTTGGCTACTCTATCACCATGGCTCACCCAATTTTTTAACCTTTTCATTTACCTCTTGTCCAATAACGCGCAATTGCAGTCATTTTATTGATTTTCAACATTGTTTATGGTGTAAATATGACAAATGCAAATCAAATTGTTTTTTAACTAAATATTACTTTTTTTTACGCAGATATAGCAGATTCCTCTCTCCGCAAAGTAACGTGCCTTCGTTGCAGTAAACATAAATTTTGCTGCTTCTGCATTTAAATTTTATACAAATAGAATGAATTCATGTAAATGTTTAAAATTTCCCATTTATTTTTCCCCCTATTATTATAATTGATTATTTCGCCTTAGGAATAATGGTGACAAGTTTGTAACCATGGGTCACACAATTCTTTAATGTTTTCGTCTAGCTCTTGTCAAATAACGCACAATTACACTCATTTTATTGGTTTTCATCATTGTTTATGTTATAAATGTAACAAATTAATTCAAATCATTTTTTAACTAAATGTTACATTTTTTGTACGCATTCATGACAAACATCCCTCTGCAAATTAATGCGCATTCAATGCAGTGCACATTAATTTTGCAGCATCCTCATTTTTATTTTAAAAAATTGTAATCAAATAATGTAAATATTTAAAATCTTCCATTTACTCTTCCTCCCGATTATTTCGCTTTCGGAACAATTTGACAAATTTGTTGCCACGGCTCGCCCAATTGTTTATCCTTTTCATGTATTTCTTGTCCTAATGCGCAATTATATTCATTTTATTGCTTTTCATCATTATGTAGGTTGTAAATATGACGAGTTCAATCAAATTATTTTTTAAATAAATAGTACGTTTTTCACATTCATGACAGATATCCCTCTGCAAATTTATAAATTTTGCAGCCTCCACATTTTTATTTTACAAAAATATAATTATATAGTGTAAATATGTAAAATGTTCCATAGATTTCCCCCAGATTTTTTTGCCTTAGGAACAATTTGGCAATTTTGTTACCACGGCTCGCCCAATTTTTAACTTTTTCGGCTACCTCTTGCCAAATGACGCGTAATCACATTAATTTTATTCCTTTTCAGCTTTTTGTACATAACAAAAATAAAAAAGATCGAATCACTCTTCCAATTAAATATTGCATTTTTTTTCATGATGTGTCTTGATAACTGAGAATTATCGCGTCTTCATAAACACATAAATTTTGCAGCTTCCACATTTAAATTTTATTTATACATTTATACAAATGTAATGTCAATATGTCTGTTTTAAATTCAGATAGAATTTGTTCTTGCAATTAGAAATTTACATTTTTTCGTCAAATACGTGACACATAACATTGCATAAGATTAATTTTTTTAAATGAATTCTAGCAGTTATTCAACACATACATTTTGTAGCTTCCGCATTTTTGTTTATCATAATAGAAGAATGAACTGAGTTTTCAAACTGGTAATTTCATATTCTGAATATAAATTGTCCTTATCTTTTAAAAATTCCAAGTTATCTTTGCCCATAAATTACAATTCACTTGACAGATAATCGGTTACAATCTAATGTTCATTTATTATTAATCAACGACAACCTGTCCATTTATTAAATACAAATTGTATGAAACATTTCCATTTATTTATTTTTTAAAATTAATTATACAGAAATGGGAAAACTGTGCAACTTTGTTGACTACACTCGCCTAAATTTATCTTTTAAACCTCTTCCTTTCTAAATAACGGCAAACATTAGATTGTCTTAATCTTTTGAAAACACGGGCCGTTTTTGTCAAAAAATACTCTTCATTTACAAGACCTACAATGTTTTGAAAATTAACCCACAATTTACAACTTAAATCTAATGGATATTTTGTTATTTTGGAGGCGGTTCAATTGAAATTATTTCTGTAAATTACAGAATAATTTAACTGTAATGAAAAATCAATAAATGTTGTATTTAATTAACTGTCTTTCTGATGATGAATGGTTGTCAATATATTTAAAATAATCCAAATTTTAAGGCCTACATGAAGAAAATGCAATTTCTGTTTCATAATATTGATTATATAATTTTTCAATTAAGGTTTTCTCAATTGTTGTCAACCATTATGGTTTTATTAAGGAAATCTATTAATTAATTTATAGTTAAACGTTACAGTAATAAATACAGGCTTTTAACTATTGGTAAGTCATTCATCGTTTCATTCTTATTTTGCGCAACACTTCATTTTATTATATATATAAAAAAATTATGTAAATAAAATAATCAATAAATCTATCTCATAATCATCGAAACTCCACATTATTTACAAAAAATTAATTTCCGTCAGGTAGCATATTTTACAACAAATTCTCTTCCTTGCAAATTCACCAACATTTCTACTAATTTCACTAATTTCGTAGTCTGCTTGACCAATTAATATATTACAATTAATTAAGATTTTTAGTTGAGATAAAAAAGTCAATGGCACGAGCGGGATTCGAACCCACGTCTTCGGCTTGATACGCCGCTGCTCTACCACTTGAACTATCGTGACCTCGATCCACTCGTGCCGATCTCAACCGCAGTTTCTACTAAGCTTGTGTTGTATGAATTTGGCCAATATTTACCTTGTACGAGAAATAAATTTCTAGGATGTCCTTTAAATCCTTTAGAGACAATTCCTATTTTTTCTATATAACAACTTAAAAGTAAGTTGAAGCATTACAATTTCAATAGCCCCCCCCAAAAAAAAAAGGATGGCGGAGTTAAAAACCTTTAGCTATAAATCATAGTCATTTAAATGGAATATTCCAATACAACATTGTCGCTATGAGTCGTCGGGAAAGTAGTCTGTTTTTCCTATATTTATCACACAGTTTTTTGTGTGCCGTTCAAATAAAAATAAATTATTGATTCTTCTTTTGCCAATACTATTCATTTAATAAATTAAAATGAAACTTCAAAAATACTTACGTTAATTAAGGAAAGAGAACGATTAAAATCTGACATATTAGTTAATTTTGCATTTAACAAGGACAATTTTTAACATTTAAAAAAAAAATTTACGCCTTACCACGTATCGTTTGTCAAATGTAAAATACTCTATATTAAAAAGTGTTAATATTTTATTATGCCCATATAAATTTTTAATACAAAAAATACTTTGTTATTTGTTTGAACAATTTCAACCCTTAATACTAATAAAATAGTATAATAGTATGTAATGTATGTATGTATATATTTTAAAACAATCATATGAAAATAATTTGAAATGTATGTCTTAATTAAAATTGAAATTACAGTCTTTTTGCTAAATCATCCATTCATAAAAAAAATATAAAATGTAAAAAATACAAGTATAGGCTGTTAGAAGGCTTGTTTGTAAAAAATAAGCCTTGTAACTGTGAATTCAGCGTGTATAATGTTATATTACATAATCGTTCTTATTCTTAATAAAAAAATTTCCTTATAATACGTTTATTTTATTATGATTTAAGTTACAAAGTTATATTTTATATTTGTTTTGTATTTTATTAGTCTTAAAAACATATAAAAATAACAGGACTTTGCTAGTTGTTTCAATCCTGATATAAATATGTTATAATTATAATAAGTTTTATGATCAATTTCTTGTTTGTTAAAAAAAATTGAGTTAATAATTATTATGAAAATCAGGAAAAAACAAAGACACACAAATTATAATAAATGCTTATTTCAAAATGACGCTTTGATCAAACGCTTTGATTTTCCAGTTAAAAAATATATACTGTCAACCGCTGACAACGTGAAGTGATTGCCGGTGATTTTCGTTGTTAAATAAATTCTGTCGTCAAGACAGAGTAGGTTCTTTTTAGTATTTTGGAAAGTAGTCTTGCCAAAATAAAAAGTATTGCTCGAGGTCTTTTGTACACGAACATCGATAAGACCATGACTCAGATCCTACAAACATATTCACCTACCTTGACGAATCGTATTTATTCCTAAAATCACCTGTTCGATTCGTTTTGTTACAATGGTATGAGCGGAAGTGGTCATTGAAAAAAATTGTTCCTTTAATGCAATGATTATAATCAATTAAAGTATAACTTAGATACTAACTACATCTTAAAACATCTCAAGCTCTCCAGTGCGATAAACAAATCATTAGCACATGGTGAAATAAAACACCAGGTTTTATTATTAAAAAATTTCATAGAGCTGCTTCTATTTTTATTGTTCATCCTCCTTCTAGGAATGGATAATGGAAGCAAAATCGTGTTGCACCAATTTTCTCCTATCCGCTTTGTTCATACATGGAAAACATCTCATGATGTCACGCTTTGGAATTTCCAAGATGTTAACTTTACTGAAAATTGCCGCGAGTCTAAAATCGAGAATTTAAAAATAAATAATTAAAATTCTTTCTATTGAATTATCCGACGCCGGCGAGGCTAGTAATGGAATCATGACGTGACCACAGGCTAATCAGGCCCCACCGCCAGCTTGAATTAAATGCATAAACTCTTCCTAATAATTTTACCGTATTACGTTGATGATATTTACGTGATGATCTTGATTTATTATAAAAGTGGGGGGGGGGGTTTTAGAAGTATGGATTATGATCATTATGCGATCGTAATTATAGTAATGAGAGACACAGGAATCCTTCGGCACGGTCTAAAGTATTTTGATCTCAGCCCGTTTAATTCTTGTTTCAATTAGGTTTTTTTAGCCAAAAGTTGGCTTCCTCAACTTACTCAAAGTCCGAACTTTGCCTGTGACTTAAACGAATTTACCATATTTTTAGTAGAATGTGGTTGTTTATGAAAATCCAAAATCATTAACCTGGGACGTGTTAGGTATGAACGTAATTGAAAGTTTACGTATAATATTGAACTTAGCATATGAATTCTAGTTTCAACTAGATTTTTAGTAAAAGGTTAACTTCATCTACTTACTTAAGGTTCAAACCTTATCTCTGACCACAAAGATTTGACAAACTTCTTGTATAATCTGGTTTTGAACATCTGTTGTTACTGATCTCCAAAATATTCTATATAATTACAACACTTTTGAGCACAATGAAGAGGTTTTTTCTTTTTTTTAGAAAATGAGCTTAATAATTCTATTAGCAAATAGGTTTCTTAGAAAATTAACTTCCTCAACATACTCTAAGTAGGACGTTTTAAGTTTGAGGGCAATTGAAAGTTTATGTGTTTTAAATAGATATAATAATGCTAGTTTCAATTAGGGTTTTTAGTAAAAAGTTAGCTTCTTCAACTTACTTAAAATTCAAAATTTATCTCTGGCCAAAATGATTAGATGTAGTTCTTGTATAATCCGGTTATGAAAATCTGTTTTCTCCGATCTCCAAAATCACTTTATATAATTAATATCCACACAGAAATTGCAACACTTACTAGCGCAAGTAAGAGTTTTTTAAAAGAAAATAAGCTTAATAATTCTAGTTGTAAATAGGTTCCTTAGAAAATTAACTTCCTCAACATAGTCAAGTCGGACGTTTGAGCGTAATTGAGAGTTGGTAGGGTTTTTCTCTTTTTACTTTAATAAACAATAATTCTAAACTCAGTGTTTTTAGTAACAGTTTCTTCTACTCACTTAAAGTTTGAAATTCTCTGAACTTTGAAAGCCTTTGGACAAAGTGATTCGCCCAAGTTGTTATGTAATCTGGTTATGAAAATTTGTGATCACTGACCTCCAAAACAGTTTATATCATTAATTATAGAAAATTGCAACACGTGTTAGCACAAATCAGAGTTAAAATAAGCTTAATAATTTTAGTTTTACGTAGGTTTCGTAGAGAAAGGTTCTTCAACATACTCAAAGTTTGAACTTGAACTTTGAAGTTTGAGCAAAACGATTCGCCTAAATTTTTGTTTAATCTGGTTATAAAAATTATTAGTCAATTAAATTAATTTCGAGTACAATCGAGAAGAAAGTTTTAAAATTAAACTTAATAATTCTAGTTTCAAGCAGGTTTCTCATAAAAATGGTGGCTTCTTTAACTTAGTGAATATACATACGTACATAAATAAAAAATGCATTTTTTAACCATAAAATTTGCTGAAAAGTTAGACCAAGGTTTGTTCAATATTATATTATAAAACTACTATTACTAAAGCAATATGAACAATGATGATGACGAAATGAACATTTTCCATGCTCTTTAAACGTTTATAAGTCTATATTAATATTTATTTTACATCACAAGGGAAATTCTAGTAGAAAATTATCTTTATTAATAATTTCCTATTGTTAGTTATTCTTCTTATTTTCGTGTATTTTTTCTGTAATATCTGAAGGTTTTGCCATTCTCGCTGTAATAAGTGTTTGGACATATGTCTTCAACAGCAACTAAACATAAAAAAATAATAACTTTTATTGATAGACTACCAATAAGTAAAATTCTGTTCCGGCTTGACAAAACGTTTTTACGACAAAATTTTCGGCACATCCTAGACGAGGAGTACTAGAAAAGATGATTAAAAATCTTTCATCTGAACTAGCGGAAACGCTGCTCAACCAGAGAAGGATCAATCTGATGAAGGTGATGTTGAGATTGCGTGGGGGTGTTTTACCGGCTCCGAGGTTAAAGGTCTGTGTGTCCCGAAACATGAAAATTATTCCCGATCTAAGATTGAAAGAGCTTAACGGTAATAGACACTCTACTACGATGATAGAAAAATCTACTATTAATCTTGTTGAATCTTAAATTATAACTTTCGACGTTTAAAATTTTTGTTTTTAAGACACGCCCGGCGTACCAAAGAGCACTTTTCGTCCGTCCGTGAAATGATTAGGCTTGGATAAAACTGTGTCTAGTTGATTCCCTGTGTATCAGTCGAAATGTTGAGAGTTGTTGAAAAGGCAACGTCTCGTTCCTGCTAAACAAACAGCTTCACTAAGACTTTCAACCTAACCAATTCCACTGCACAACCAAAATCTTTGAGCACTGGTGGATGAGCAAAATAATTGCAGCGAGGGTTAAGTAACAAGGACTAACACCTCGTTTCACTTATTTTGATTAACTTTCAAAGAGTACTTTGTAAATACAAAATATGCGATGTATATAATTAAGATATTTTTTTATTTCATTAAAATTTTACTAACGTTTCTGGATGCAAATTAATAATAACATTATACAGATTTTTATTTAATTTTTTTTCTATATTTTTTGAAAATTTAATATCTATTTTTTTTCTTCGCATAAATAGTAACATTCCCAGAAAATTATTTAAAACGTTTTATCTTCAATATAAAGAGTTAAAATCAAAACAAATTTTACTCCAGTATTTTTAGCAGTTAAGAATTTATTATCAGCTAATTGAATACGTGAATTTAGAAGAAATGAAAGATCGATTCTGACGAGTTGTCGATTCTAGGCCCGTCCATGAAATTGACCTAGATTTCTCCGACGTGTTCAGTATGGGCAATAAAAACATTTGGTTTTTATTTGTTATCTTTTTAGATGTGGTTGGCGGTAGTTAGGAGGTGATCGCAGGATCCGTGCCACTGCAGACTGGAGTAAGATCTTCCATGATGACCACTGCATGCGAAAATAATAAAACTAATAGTAACTACATAGTAATTAGGCTTGACTAAAAAAAACCTCTACTTCCTACTAACCATACTAACTCGATAATGAGGGTTGCTAATTTATGTACAAAGCTTGTGATTCCCTTCTGCTGTATTTTGTTCTTTATCCTATTCCGTTGTTATACAAATCCATCTTCCGCCTCTCTCTAGAAACGCATGCGTTTGTTTTAAGCTTATTGTTTTTGACTTTTATTAAATCTGTTTATTTACTTGGAAACGTTTCTTTTTCAGGACCATTCACAGCCCGACTTGCAGGGCGGCGGGGAACTTCATGTCTAGGTTATAAAAGCAAAACTTTTTCTTTTGCCATATTACTACATTTAATTTAATTTATTGTTTTAAAATAGCTTAATATCAAACCGCATTAAGATAAATTCCCTTGTACGAAACTCCGACTCTTTGGCCGTTGTCAAAGATCGTTGGGAGTAGGTCGCCCTGTTTTTCTAGTCTCGACAAACATCAGAAGGCCTGAGACATCATTGAAAATAATTACTTAATTAACAGACGGATTAATGTGTAAATATGTTATTTATATTATGCTTTACTAGTTTACCATTTTTTGTGTGAAAAAAAATTATTTACCTGACAAAAATAAATTTTTTAAATTGTTTACAAATGTACTGATATAATTAATTGTTTAAATTAATAAATTTAGAAACGCATAGTGAATTATAAGGGGAGAAATGCAATATAAACAAACTTTACGACGTGCTTCCGAATCCCAGTGTAATATAGATAATAACAATTATATTTATAGATTTATATAAAAATTATATATCCAAGTTTTTTAAATAGTGTGAGCAACGCGCATCAAAAATAGCTTATAAAATACAGTTATTTAATTAAAACTGTTTTAATATTATTTATTTCTTTTTTTTTCTTGTGTAAAATATTAGAATTACCCTTAGGTAATAGAGCATATTTAAAAAACTTACAAAGGAAGTTAAATGATTAGATATAGACAGAAGTACATATTTGAGATTTATTTTGTAATTTTGTATATAAATTCATGTTAATAAACTGGAAAAAACTGTACAAGATTATTTACAATTTATTGAAAATTTTTCCCTTTAACAACTGTTGTGAGAATATTGCAGTAGGTAAACTGGAAATCTGAAGTTGTTCTAATAACTTAAAAAACCATCGCCTATTCGTAAGCATAAAGCAGTATCAATTTAGGTTTTAACAAAAAGTAAGTACAAAGCAAAATTTAGATAGTACATTTCTAATAAATAAAGTTAACATAGTCAAAAGTACGATTAGTTTTTGTGCTATTGAAGATTTAAAGAAAATTCATTATATTTAGTGGTCTATTGATCAAATTACTTCTTTCAATTAATTAATCTTTTTATGTAAGGTTTTTGGTTGAATGAAAAAGCTAGTGCCACGAGCGGGATTCGAACCCACGACCTTCGGCTAAATACGCCGCTGCTCTACCATTTGAGCTATGGTGACTTCGGTCCATTTCGACATCAACACCCCCATCTCAACTTACAACCTTTCGAATTTCGACATTTGAAAAATGGCAAAAAGGAGGGGAAAATTTGATAAGGTCGTAGGTTCGAATCCCGCTCGTGGCACTAGCTTTTTCATTTCAACCAAAAACCTTACATAAAAAGATTATTTAAAGAAAAGTTTTTCACTTAATAAAAGAAATATTATAGTAGATATGTTCAGCTAAACGTTAAAAATCTTTAAATAATTTCCCCAAACGAATAATATTTCGACAGAATGAAACAACAAGAATTGCCAAATCAAAACGATCTCACCAAAGTGTAATTTTTGTTTAAAATGAAATGTACAAACTAAGAAAATTTATTCTAAGGATAATGTGGCATCACAAAACTAGATTTAAAAACTATTTTTTTAACGTCCTAATAGTTACGTAAAACTATATTTATCTGCAATTATTACCAAGCACTTTTTAATCAGTAATTTTCCTGAAGGTAAGTAAACAAGAAAGGACATTGAAAACAATATAGTGCATAGGAAGTCTCCCTGGTTAACTCAGTATACTATTCACTAGTTTTCGTAGTCCGCTTGACCAATTAATATCTTTCAATTAATTAAGGATTTTAGTTGAGATAAAAAAGTCAGTGTCACGAGCGGGATTCGAACCCCCTCTATCCACTCGGACACCAACTTCCCATCTCAACCCCACCTTTTGAATTTTCCCTCCTTTTCGCCAATTTTCTTTTTCTCGTGACACTGACTTTTTATCACAGTATACTATTTTTAAGAAAAAATAAAATTTGTAGGCGTAAAACTTCAAAAGTGAACGTGAGTGATTTGTGTTGTAAACTTTATTAACATTTCTGTCATATAAAATTTTACCGACATTTCTTACATATTATGAGGAAACAAGCCAAGGCTGTTCTCAAATTAATTCAATTAGTTGTGGCTGTCATAATTACAGGTTAAATGAGCTCTCCAAGCAACTTTACTAAAACAGCAACTAAACTACGAAAATGAGCCTGACTTGTTTCTTGTTATATGATTTTATTTATAATTGTGATTTCTATCAAACTTAACTGGATAAATGCCACATTAAGTAGGATTGCAACTAGCAGTGCTATGAAGGAATTCAACTTGTTAGACAAAAACATTTTTTGCAACAAGTAGCTTGAATGAAAATTAATTTACCATTAAATGTACTCTCAGCACGACACACAAGAATGACACATCCACACAGAAAACAAACACTTTGAGCCCTGAAGATGATCTCAATAAAGATCGAAACGTTGGCACGATAAAGAAAATGTTTTTCTAAAACCTACGTCACACCAGTCCTCATCTCACGATCTTATTATTATAATATTATATAAACTCTTAATATAATAAAACATGTATTATAATAGTAAATAAACTCTTATTTAAAATATATCTAAAAAACATTTATTTTTTTTTACACTCAACCGGTTAATAGAAAGATTAAGTAAATAGTAGCTTGACTAACTAATTCAACTAATCCAATTTGCCCCAATCAAAACGGGTTTATAAAATGATAACATTAATAGATTCCTCAAAAATTTTATAGAAACGATTAAATAAAAAAAAAAAAATAAATAAAACGGCTAAGAAGAACTTCCTGTTTGACTTTATACCCCTTTTCTAAGAATTTTAAAAATGAATACATTCAGTAGTAAAACAAAAATAAACGAGATTTGCACGCTTTTTTTTCATTTTCATTTTAATTGACAAATGTTATTTTAGTAACACTTAACTGTACAAACGCGAGACCTGATTAAGTAATGCAACTTCTGAATCAAAAATGAGTCGACATAAGTGTTTAATTAATAAGTTAAAAATGAGTCAAAGTGTAAGCAAATCACAAAAATATTTAATTACGCACTTAAATAAAACAAAAAGTAATATTAAAACAAGAAAGTGCTTACAAGTTCTGTCTGTTTAACTCCCTTATCCTTGCTTTTTTGCTTTTCTCAACAGTTTTAATTATGAGATCCCTGAGCCATCACAGTTTATAATCGCCTGTCTGGGTTATAAGGGTGGGGGTTATGTTTGACATGGATCGGGCTAATGGGTCGGAATGTGAGAATAGTTTTTTGTGGAACGTGTAAAATTGGTTGAGGATTTTAACAAAGGGTTTGTTGAGGTCATTATAAAGGGCGGCATTGGAAAGGAAGTAGGGACCGTTGACAATGATTGCGAGGATTTTGGGTTGGAAGAAGTGGATTCTTTGGATATTAAAAGGTTTGGCGGTCCAATCCTTATTTCTAAACTTGTAGGGGCATAGTCCCGCCCAATGCGTGGGATTTTATTAATAATTATTTATTTAGTAGTACAAAGCGTCTGTTTAAGGCCCGTATTTTTGTCCGTGTATGTCGGATCCAGATTAGACGTTCATCAAGATAGAAACTAAGATAGCGTACACATTCAGTTTCGGGGATACGAGTGTCGTTGAGGAATATTGTATGAGGTGTTAATATCAGAGGTTAAAAGTAACATGGGTGAGTTTGCATTCATTTGCTTATATGCACTAGAATTTACTCCATTCGGCCATGTGCAACACGTGTTGCAACGTGTTAGCTCCTCAGAATCGTAGCACAGGTATATGTAGTTCACGACGTGATATATGAGGGCTAAAGCCGACCTGGTGATCTGGGAGAAGGTTAAGAGTGTAGAAAACATTCGTGGATCAAAGGGTGATAGTTGAGTATTTCAAGAGGAAAGGTAAGTTAATAGTGAGGAAAATACTGTTGTTGCATTGACGGAATATTCAAGAGGATTTTACAATAACATTAAATAAAAAGATAAAGATGATCTCCCAGTTTAACTCCCTTGTGAACGTTTCAGAAAATTTGAAATTTTTCATATTTAGAAGTGAAACTTCAAAAATAAGGACTACCTAGATGCTTTTTATACAGCTGTTGATTGAAAAAAGTGATTTTCATATCACAACTGGATAAACATGAATTCGATAGCTGCCTGATAAACCAATTCAACTAGTCAATGAAACATGTGCTTAAGTAAGTAACGTATTTAATGGTAACTTTAATGAAAATCCATTATATTTAGTGGTATGATTGACCAAATATTTTCTTTCAATTAATTAATCTTTTTATGTAAGGTCTTGGTTGAAATGAAAAAGCTAGTGCCACGAGCGGGATTCGAACCCAATGCCTTCGGCTCAATACGCCGCTGCTCTAACCACTTGAGCTATCGTTTAATGAAAATCTCAAAAGTATTAAATTAAATAAAAAGATAGAGAGTGAAAGGAAAGGTGAAAACAAGAGTCCCTGTTTAACTACCATATCCTTTTTCTAAGAAAATTAAATTTCCCCTTTTTATTACTACAAAAATAAGCGTGATCTGGAAGCTTCTTTAAACATTTTTACTTTATAATGGGATTTTTATTTTATTGGTAACGGCAACATTACGTTGAGACTAGACTGACGTTAACTAAGACCAGAAAAAGCTGAGAGAACTAGCTAATAATTTTGATTAATTCCAATAAAATAAATTAATACCAAATGATTTCCTGATGTATGTAGTAGAAATCGTACAAAAAATGATCAAATATTAATTCTTAATTAACTACTTGTTATTTAATTAAATATTTTACTTATTTTTTGTTCGTCTTTTCCTTTTTTAATAAATGGATAACAATTGAATTGTGTTTTTCGTAATTTAATATTTTAATCTTACATTTGCCTGGTATTTCAAGAAAAATAGTAGATTGGAAAGGTTTTTCTGTCCAACCATGTGTCAAACAAATTCAACTGAAGCAAGCTGTGATATACACATAAGTGACTTTAATGGCGATGTATACAGACCAGTGGATAATGACTTGTTTGTGGTCAAATGGATTTTAAAGCTGCTTCAAAAGGACATTGCGAAAAATCCAACCCGAGCATTTTTGGGATAAGACATCACAACTTAGTTATACGAAGTCTACACTACTTGCTTTATACTTATAAAAAATAAAAAACGATTTACACAAAAGTGATATAACATTTGCACAAAAAGAAAAATCTTAATGGGATCGTACTGCCACATCCACCATATACAGACCATATTCCTTCAGAATTTCAGGTGGGATATGCTCAGCCCGACTTAAGTAAGTTCGCGTTCCAAGGAAAAAATTACACTTTGATCAAGACATGACCGCACAAGACCAAAAATCTCAATCGAATGTTCAAAGTGATATAACATTTGCACAAAAAGAAAAATCTTAATGGGATCGTACTGCCACATCCACCATATACAGACCATATTCCTTCAGAATTTCAGGTGGGATATGCTCAGCCCGACTTAAGTAAGTTCGCGTTCCAAGGAAAAAATTACACTTTGATCAAGACATGACCGCACAAGACCAAAAATCTCAATCGAATGTTCAACGCCGTCCTCGCCCCTTCGAACCATTTATCACAATCCATTGCCAACTTTTCACTGTGGCCAAATATTCACCATTGGAAGAAAATTGGCTTACAAGTTGAAAGTTAAAGAATCATTTTTGAGTGGGATTGAATACAGGATGGGAATTAAGGGTCAACATTTGGAGGAAAGACATTGTAATT